TAGGTACTGGAACTGGAACCCCAACTGGAAATGCATCGACTTTGAGCTCAATGGTTCCAGTTGTTACAACTGCAACCACTTGTGTAGATTTAGCTTTACCTGGACGTCCTTCAGACTGTCCAGCAAATGCTAACCTTTGCCAGAACAACTTATACAGAGCGCTAATGCAACAGCAGTGTCCACGAACCTGCGGTTACTGTACTGTTGTTCAGTCAAGTAAAACCTTTGACTCAATATTCTATATTTGATCCACCTCTAATCCATTAAAATAAAAATTCTGTATAACAAAAAATTTCTTAAAATTATTGTTACTTTAAGCATAAATAAACATTTTTGAGAAGAGTAAGTAAGTTTAAATTTGATAATATAGTCGTTGGTTATTCCTAGTCGGAAGATAAATAGGTTGTCATGAATATACAGCCAAACAATAAAGGGATAAAAGCAAAAGAAAGTGTTGCTTGTCAATTTATTCATTTTGCAGAAATAAAACTTACACTTAAGATACCTAATCTCAGTTTGAGGTAATTAGATTACATGCACTCAAGCTTAGAGGTATAACGCTCAAATTATTTTCTTATTGTACTTTTTCAGCAAACAGCTCCTGTGTCGACATGAACTTACCTGGAAGGCCGTCAGACTGTCCAGCACTTGCTTCTCTTTGTACAAATGCCATCTATCAATCGCTGATGACACAGCAGTGTCCAAGAACATGCGGCCTTTGTTGAACACTTGTTTGGATGATATCGCTATGCAAAACATTGTAGATAAAATAAGTTGTAGGAAAATAAACTTTTTTATCATAGAGTAAACTACAAACTTTTTAAATGTCAGTTTTTCAGTAGCCAATCAGTGCAAATTAATAAGGTTGCTAAAAAAAAAAATAATCGCTTAAATGACTTCTAAAACAATTTTTACATCTAAATCAAATGAAAATCAATAAAATATAAAACAAAATTTCAATCAGTTTGTCAATCAAACTGATATTACTTATGTTTTCTTTCAGAAACATTACAAAACTGCCTCTTTCAAAAATACTAGCTTTTGGAAAAAAATTATTCTTAATATTTAAATTGAGAGGCATTTTGCAATTAAATATTAAAGTCTGTAAATTTTAAAAGTTTTGCTGTAGTTTCTGTCTTAGTGTAACGTGTTGTGACAAAATTTTACAAGTTTCGATAAATAATTGGTTATAGATGATGGCGAACCGTTAAGAAACGTATTTAAAGTTCATTTGCAAAGCCGAAAAAAATTGACTCTATTTATATCGTATATTTATTTATTATCCTTTCAATATCTGCTTTTACTAGCTAGGCTTTGTGACTGCGATAACAATTATAAATGACCGAAAACTGACGAGTTTTCGGAACTGCTTTATTGTAATCAGGAAACTGATTCTGCGAAAGAGTGCAATCCGACTGCATCAACTATAATTTATAAGCCTTTTTACAATACCATAAATGCATGTGTCTTTCATAAATTACAAACAAAGAAACGGTATAATGTTATACTTTATCTAATCACACTTTTTCAACATACATATATATATACATATATAAACAAATCAAGAAACAATATAGTTACCTCTAAATTGTGAAGTAAAAGTACTTTCTACTGGCACCTCAAACAAAAGTATGGCAGTTGTACAAATGATAAAAAAAAAAAAAAGAAATCTTCAATTGCACTGAATATTAATTCTAAAAACATTTAAAAACATCTAGCAAACATACCGTACGGAAAACTATATAAATAACGATAAGGAAAACAGTGTTACTTTTGCACCGGTTGCAGTTGATTTTACTTCCGTTCTCAAAGCAATGTTTGTATTTGTTGCTGTGGCAGTGACACTGCTTCACTATGGATCGGCTTCAGAAACTGTCATAACACAACTTAGTAGGTCTCCTTTAGTTTTCCTCTAAATAATAATCAACCGTCTGTCAATTTTTAAATGGTAAATTTAGTAAATAACTTTGAAAAAAAAAAAACAAAAATGATTTTCCGACATGGTTTTCGTTGACCAAACAGTTATGGTTAAACTGCCAGTTCGAGATTACTCGTAAAAAAATTTTGGTTGTATAAAGTAACCTAAAGTTAGGCATTATTTGGAAATCACTCAAAAAAAAATCACTTTTAAAACCATCATTTTTTTTTTGTTTTGAAGTACTACGTTTCTCGTGATACAATCTTCTAAGAGTTGCAACGATCGGATGCACTGAAATTTCTAAAAACAGCTATTTCTAAAAGAAATTATCAGGATCAAGTTAAATTTGACAAATTTCAGACTGTACCACTTCCGCCGACTGCACACTCCAAAATGCTCTTTGTTCACCCAACGGCTTTTGTGTTGGTCCTGCTACGTGCTCAAATACAGGTTCATATCTTTTCTACTTTTCTTTTAGATACATGTGGATCTGGGAAATGTTTTTAACTAGTCTGTGAATATCAAAGGAATAAGAGAAGGAACTGTACACTAAATACTAACATAAGAAAAACAAAATTCTAGTATCCCAAAAAACAAAAAATTGATATATCACTTAAGTTTTCAGATTGCTCAATAGGACCGATATGTGCAGCAGGTCAAGAGTGCTGGCAGATTTTGAACACTAACAACTTCAGATGTTGCACCTGGCTTGGTGCTAATGTTACAGCCAGTAAGTTTCACGAGCATTAGAAAGCCAGCAAAAGACACATCTATCAAGATAGAAGAGTTGAACAGCATGAGAAAATGTACCGCATGCGCCACCTTTATGGTGCTACAGTGTCTAAGAACTGTCACGGCCTAATTTTTGATTACTTTTTCAAGCGTATAAAACATAACAGTCAATAACTACTATCACAAAAATTTCTATCTTTATAAGTTACCAAAACACACTTAGAACTGTGAAAAGCCACAGCATACAGTTAAAAGAAAGTTATTATAAAAAAAGAGTTGAACAGTTGAGTGCAGTTAGTATGAGTTAAATACTAATCAAAACAAAATTTCTGATTACGAAAGAATGTTTATTTTAAAAAACTGTTGTTTTGCAACATGTCCTTAATTACAATCTGTACAGAGTAATCAAACTATCCAAATGTGTTCTATAGTGCCATATTGCGTATTTAACGCAGAAGAAAAAGTTAAGTAGTTAAGATACTACACAATATAAACTCTTGTCGATAAATCACTGTAATAACAGTATTGGAAACCTAATTTAAAAGATTGAACAATTCTAGATGCAAGCTGCGTCGATTTGGCGGCTCCAGGTAGACCGTCCGACTGTCCAGCAAACGCTAATCTTTGTCAAAACGACTTATACAGAGCGCTAATGCAACAACAGTGTCCACGAACCTGCGGTTACTGCACTCCAGATGGAAGCGGTATATTTTTCCTGTACTAAATTTAGGGAAAAAAAAAGCATTTTGAAGCAGTCATCACTGTAGGAGGCATGTGTGCTAAGCAATTTTTATTACACGTACTTGAAAAACAAAAGTCTCTCTTTTAGCCTTCAATAGCAGCTGCGTCGATTTGGCTGCACCTGGTCGGCCATCAGACTGTCCGGCAAATGCTAATCTTTGCCAAAACGAAACTTACAGAACGTTTATGCGACAGCAATGTCCAAGAACATGTGGTTACTGTAGTCCAACCGGAATTCCAACGGTTACTCAAGTTATTCCAACAGTTACTACTCAAGCGTCTGCTGGAAACGTAGTTACTGGAGGTAAGTCTAATAAAAGTTTTGGTTACAAACTCATCAGCAGTTTATAGTTTCTCAGGATAATATTTGAATAATAACTCTTACGCCCCTTAAAATAATCTTTTCGGCTTATCTATCGAAACGTTTATTTATACAGTTATTGTTCTTGCTTTTTTTTTCTTGCTAGTACTAAAAACACCACCGACGAATTGTATATAGAACTCTTTTTACCTTTTCAGCCAATGGAAAGTAAATAATCAACGGCTGGATATTAGTCCACCAAAACTTTAAGAAAAGTACTTCGTTTCAACGCATTTGTGTTGCAGAACTGCTATAAACATTAGTGCATGATAGCATAATTTCGCAACTTTTAAGTTCATGTGTACTTCCGTCACTATATATTTTTTTTACCGCTTTTTCACATGTATACGCCCTATCAAATAAAATAACAAGAATAACTTTTTTTATTTTATACACAAAATTATACATGAAGTGCTGAGAAATTTCACTGTGAAAAATGGGGAGTTTTCTAATATACGACCCAATTACTGTATTTCTCAGTATTTGATGCTGCTTTTGTGAATGTTGCTACGCCAAGCATATCTTTCAACTGCCTACCAAAGAACAAGTAGATTAGATGAGCATGGAGTAACTAAAATCTTTCAGATATGATTGAAAAAGCATGACTCATCTTCAATTTGTCTGAAAGCTGGAAATATTTTTCAAAAATCCGCAAAGCAAATTTAAAAAACCTCTCAAAACAACTGAAAGTGATAAATTAAGAAGCAGAAACCACAAGTCTCCGCGCAACAGACAAAAAAATTTTTTTGACTAGCATCATTTGAGTCATGCTAAAAGTTTCTAGAAAATTTTCCAAGATCATCAGATTGCTCAACAAATGCAGCTTCGCGTAGTAATTGCTTACATTAATTTTTGATGAGACATCAATATCTGAAAACCTGACTCCTTTGCTGAGAGCAAATGAACTCTTCAAACAACTGCAAAAGCTTTAAACCTGCAAACCAATCGCTTGAATCCACGAAAACGAATGTTTATCACCTAAAACTCTCAAAATACGCTTCCACTTAACACTCATACTTCCTTAATGGCTTAACAATTTGTATTAATAAATACTTGTTTGGTACTATCAAAATCATTACCACCGGCATTTCACTAGGCAACTTTTTATTGCTCGTTCAAAAACTGCACCTGAAAAGTTATCAAATTCTTATTTTTTTATGAAGTTATGTTTAGCCGAACTTTTGACGGCTACAATAAAATTAATTTGTGTTGACTTGACGCTTAACCAAACCTATCTCAACACAGTAAGTCTTCTTTTATAGAGGATACTGTACCTATACTACTCTTTTTTGTAACTCTAAAGAACTCTCTTGTGTTGAGCCTCTTTTCTATCATAAAAATTAGATTTTATTCTCTATTGCTTTAGAACAATGAATGAAAGACCGAGAAAGAATGGACAGAATTGATTTATAATTAGGGAGCAGATAAATGACTAATTTAAGCAAAGCAATATTTCAAGGATGAATACAAGATAATGAGAGATTGCCAGTATTCACTAATCCTTATTTGCACTACCTCAACAAATATTGAAACGCACCAACCAAGTATATACAAAACACAAGCATCCAAATGGTCAAAAACTCATTACAGGATTTCAAGACGATTAAATTTACTGACCTGATGAGGTGTCTCGAGAAGATTTGGCAGTAGTAGATCTTAATAACTTTAATCGCTAGACAGCAAAAAAAAAAATAAATAAATAAATAGTACCAACTTGAGTCAAAGCAAAGACTAACAAAAAACAAAATTTAGGAAAGACAATTATGTTCTTGAAAGAAGGACAATTGTAATCAGCCAAAAAACATAACAAATCCTTTTGTCTTTATCAGCTTTAGCTTTTTTATCTCCCAAAAGGAACAAAATTTTTGTTTTACCAAAATGAGTAAAACAGTTTAAAATTATTCTGACCTTTGTGCATCGGCAGCTCTTTAGTTCTGTGTGATGCAAACAAGAAATTTCCTGCTTTCTTCTCTTTTACAAACTTGTGTTTTTTTTTTTAGTTTTGTCACCTACACTTACTGTATAGCATTCTTGATACTTCTCCGTTCGATGAGGAACCTATCTATATTATGACCTGAAAAGTGCGGTAATTTTTAAGCATCTCAAATCTAGTTGCGTATCCAGTATTTTAATTACCTTAAAATATTTGTTCCAACTCAACACTTACAGAAAAGTTTTCAACAATTACATAATGATCACTAGCACACCAGCAAACACATTAAAAACTAAAGAACTCAGAACACAATTACAACAATTCTTGGTTTATTTTACAGAACAACTTCGAGAGAGGCTCCTGTCGACTTTTAAAAAGCCAAAGAAATGGAATTCGTGAAAAAAGAGCGAAAGAAAAATCTAATCTGTAACGAGGTATAGTAACGGCAATATGCAGTCCAGCAGTGGACTCAATACAACAGCGAAAAAACTGCAAACTGTTAAACAAGAAGAGGCTGAAAATTCAAATAAAAATTGAAAGCAGCATATGAAAAAAAAAATCATAATTTTATAAAGGTTCAAACATTTTTCTTGACCAGCTATTAGACCAAAACCTGTGGAAGTCACTCTTAGAAGCAAAACAGTATCGGATAATTTTGGATCCCATAATATAACAAACCCTCGTTTTCAGCCATTAAGTAAAAAGCTACAGTTTTCAAAACTTTCTTTCGACTTTTCTCTGTAAAGTAGAAAGAAATCAGCATCTTAGTGTCATCTCACTTGTCGGTAGCTTTGAGGAACATAAAAACCAATAAGCTTTTGATGCCAAACAAACTATTTAATCCCTTTTGCAGTTGCATTGCAAAAAATAATAATAATAATAATAATGGGAAAAATTTAAGAAACCTGTGTAAGAAAGGGAAAAGCCGCCAACTAGATATAACTACACAATCACCGTCTACCTTTCAGTAGATTCTGTCGCCGTTTAATACAGATAGTTCTTTTTTATACTACTCCTAAAGAATTATGAACTCTTTTTTACAACTAAAAGCATGTCCTTTCAAAACGAGCGATTCTCTGAAAGGAATAACCCAAGCAGTTCTCCCTCACGCAGATAATTACACAGTTTAAAAAGTTACCATTAGCATCCTGCGGGAACCGAAACCAAGCAAGATTAGCGAATACACTTGATCCTTAAAGACTACGGTTATGAATTCACCAGAGCCTAGCACACCGTCACGGCTAACTGACAGAATCTTGAACTTGAAGAACAACTACGGTGGATATCCCTTTGGCACGCCCAAACCTTTTACTACTTTTGTACCTTTCTGAGATCTCAGACTACAAAGCCCTCGACCTCCCAGAGAACTGTAATTTACTAATAAATCAATGTCTATAATAGTAACTGGTCTGCACGGACACTAACTTCTGCCCAAAGAAATCCGGCCATTGTTACCATAGTTGCAATATTCCGACGTGACTAATGATAGGAACGACGAATTTTTAATAATTAAGTTTATTCATTTCCCGGAACAAAACCAACAGCCACCGAATATTCTTGCGAAGAATGCACGCAAGTTAGCACAGAAAAAGAAATAAAGTACAGTTAGTTTAGAGTTAATCTTCAGAGCAAAGCATCGCATAAAAAAGCAAAAATTTTTAACTTTAAAGGAATATAAGAAACGTATAAATTTCTAAACAAAGACCAGACCAAAGCTTCAGGCTATTACCACTTTACCTTCAGCCGGTGATCGGCCAAGCGCAGCTGCTTGCATGCGTGCATTGCATTTTCAAAGATAAACAAGGAATGGTTAAAGGAACTTATCTAGGAATTTTACTACGACAGGTCGTTGTCCTACACATAAATATCGTGCTCTTGCACACCAAACATTTATTTTTTGTTATATTAAGAAGAACAAAATACTTGTCACTGTGTTGAAACCACCGTACTCAACAAATTATCTTGAGTAGTTGCCAACAGTGTACGACTTTTTACCTTCATTAATTGTTTGCTGCTTTTTGGTTATTGAAAGGAATTTCTTCTCCAACGTGGAATATGGGGCTTACACAAAATGTTTACCTGTTTTTGGGTCTAAAACATGATACAGTTTATAATACGCTGGTTCTGTAAGAATCAGTCTGTAACTGGTAGAACACTTCAAGAGTGATCTATCCAACTACTCTTAATGGAAATCGAGCGATTTTCTGAATTACTCGTCGGTTTTTTTGCTCAGGTGCATGTTTTTTGAGAAGGCATACTGTGGTACTTTTTCTTCATCCAAAATGTGGATTATGGACTCAGATTGAAGTTATTGGAGTGACGCAAGAGTGTATCAGTGTATTTGGAGGAAGTAGAACATTCTCCGCTTTTCATCGGTTTACTTATAATAGAGCTTCTTAGAAGTATAAAGTCTGTTGAGACGTTAAGTTTGGTGTCAATACGGCTCAGCAGTTCAAATGCAAGAAATTGCTGTACTGTCCGTAATTCAGTAAAATCCAGAAATTCCTTAAGCTGGTAAGCGTCGAAAAAATCTACTTTTTGGCATTTAAACTAAAAGAGCTAGATAGTTCATTCTTAAAGCATTCTAATGGCTATGGGCTGATTTAAGAATAAACTTTTTGGAGAGACGAGTAGTTTCCCGAGAATAACGCAGGCTCTTTACAGAAACTAACAAGTAATTTTAAAAAATCGCTCGGCTTGTGATGGGCCAGAGTATTTCGGCAGCACACAGGAAGCGCTGCAACGGCTGTAATCTCATGACGGAATGGACATTCCGGGCTCATAAAATCCTCCGTGCGATGTCACAGTGCACTATAATTGTGCCAACGGCAGAGTCTAAAAGCTGGAATTGTTCCAGGAGAGACGCATTTCGTGTTGACGGGATTTTCAGAGACAGGCTGTAAACGAAGTGCCTTATGTATTGCGTTTTTTATCCTTTAAGGGTTATTGTCATTTCCGCCCGTTCTGCATAAGTGTTCGTTGATGTTTTTTGAGATTAGTCATCTTGCTTCGTGTTCTTTTCTTTTTTCGCATCTATATTTCTAACGATGCGGGTTGAGAAAAGTAGGTTTTGATTATTTTAAATGTGATATTAAGGACGTTTTCATTCAGTCAACAATGGGCTGTAATCGGGATGGTTTAGTGTAAGTTTTCTAGACAGTTACAACAAAACGTTTTTTTTTTGTGTGTGTGTGCATCATGAGGCTGCATCTGATGAGATGGCATGCAGAATTTAAATTTGTAACTTAATTTTCTCTGTTCCTACTTTGAAACATTGGTCACACTTTTGAACGATAAACTTATTCTTTGGAACTCATCAACACCAGCGGGGCTTGAAAAAAGTGATTTGAAAAAATCAAAAGGAATTCTTTTTTCACATCATTGAAGCTCGTATTTCAAGGTATCCTTGGAGAGGAGCTACCTGGTTACTTGCTACTTTATGTTTTTAACTTTTTGGTTGGGTGCTGAGCGTAAAGAAAATATTGAAACCTAGTCAGTTTTGCTTGTACATTTCTTTACCTAATATTTTTTTGACTTGTCTGACCTGTATTGTTCCTAAACGATAGTTTTCCTTTTTTTTGATAGTTTTGAAGAACCTTAATTTTTTTACTTGTGAAAAACTTCCAATTGAGAAATTTGGTAGAAAATTAAACTTAATTTTCTAGTTATCATGCTTGAAATTTTTACCTTGATCGATAGTACACATTTGGGCAGAGGTTCAATTACACATGAGCAGAAGATAAGCGAGTTTGAAGGTGGTTTTCTAGTTTAAGATCATTCACTATTTGCTCGTCAAGCAAACATCACTTTCTACCGGAATGTTGAAGTTCCGAAATAGTGTAAGGAAGCACTTTAAAATACATCTTTTTGGTATGTTCATTCAGTTTGTGATTTCTTTTTGTTAACTCATGTCATTTCATGCTTTTTGCTTTTCAGTCGATTCTAAAAGAGTGATGGTTCTTCTCCTCGCACCATTGTAGTAGAGGCATTTCGTCGGAACCCAATTTTGGGTTCTCCTCGTAGAAACATAGAGTATGGTAGTAACTATGGCTAAAGAACTTATTTTTTTTTGGCTATGTACAGCTATCTTTGCTATTCTTTTCAACTTATTTATGTTAAGCGATGGAACTAACAGAGAGGATATTGATAAAAATGAATTAAGGTGGGGTTTTTAAGCTATTTCACTGAAAATTTTTGTTTCAGTGAACTGGACAGGTAAGTAGATGCAAATGCTGAAAATGGTTCATTTCATTTCGTTCTAGCAAGACTAGCTCTAATAAAAGTTCTTTTCATAAGCATTTTGGTATTCTTTCTATTCTTTCGAACTCTGTTATTGAACAGCTACGGAGGTTTTTGTTGTTATTTATCTTTAGATTACAAGCCAAGGAAATGTTTTTACACGGGTATCGTGCTTATATGAAATATGCATATCCTCACGATGAGCTTATGCCATTGTCTTGCAAGGGCCGCCAACGAGGTGTTACTCCTACTAGAGGCGATGTCGATGATTCCTTGGGAAAGTATGTAATTCGACTTATTCTAATGGGGCATTCTTCAAGAATTTCTGCTTTGAATTAGTTCAAGAAAAGTGGTTTTTGACTGGTTTTTGTTCATTGGATTTTTTGAAAAGATCAAAATTTAATTTCAATTTTATTTTAGATATGGATTACATTTGAGTGTTACTTGGAAAAACTCTTTTATGGTTGCAGTTTTTTCTGAAATTTCTCAAACGGTATTTTAGCACTTCTCTTTAGCTTTTCTTTAACATTGGTGGACTCTCTGGATACGTTGGTAGTAGTCGGAGAACTAGAGGAATTTGAAAAAGCTGTGAAATTGGTTGTGTCGAATATTAGGTTTGATGCAGATCTCGTTGTATCTGTTTTTGAAACCAATATCAGGATGGTTGGCGGCTTATTGTCTGGTAATTCTAATCACACTTTTTTCTTGTTTGGCCGAAAATGCCGACAACAATCTCTTGAATAGTAAAGTTTAGGAAGAACTGATCTGATAGTGTAGGAACGTCATCGGCAGGGTTTGCTCCTTTACGCTTTAATTTTCCAGGGCATATTTTGGCTAAGTTGATCCAGTCACATGAAAAGAACCTTCTTTCGTGGTACAACGACCAGCTTTTACAAATGGCTCGAGAACTTGCCGATAGACTTTTGCCTGCTTTCAACACAACAAGCGGTGTTCCATATTCCAGAGTACGTTTTACGTCTTTAAGATGAAAGAAATTGAAATACTAATTTTTATACGACATTGTACCACACATTTTGCGTCGGGTCCTGTAGATAAACTTGCGTTATGGGATGCAAGGTTATTTGCGCGAGCAGAGGGACACTTGCACTGCATGCGGGGGAACAATGCTCCTCGAATTTGCCACGCTGAGTCGTTTGACAGGGCTTTCTGTTTATGAAGAAAAGGCCAAAAAGGCAATGGATTTTCTGTGGTCGCAAAGGCATCGTAGTTCAAATCTAATGGGGACTGTATTGAATGTTCACTCCGGGGACTGGGTTCTTCGAGGTGAGAAATTATATTTTCTTATTTAGGTAAGTTCATATTTCTATTATAAATGAGGTTTTAGATAGGTTGGGACGGACTCGTATGTTCAGTATGTAGTGGCACTACTAGTTTTTAAAAGTTGAGACGGAAATTAGCGCTATCTTTAGTATGGATTACGATATATCGAATTATTTTTGGTTCTCTTTTGAATAATTTGAAAAAGCAATTATTTCTGCTGTAATATTTTGTGACTTGTGTTTCTTGCAGATGCAGGGATTGGTGCAGGCATCGATTCATATTATGAATATTGTCTCAAAGCTTATATTTTACTTGGTGAAGACGATTATCTGTATCGGTTCAATAAGGTTAGCTTGGGGTCATACTTTTAAGAAATGAGCTGATGTTTCTCTTTATACTGAGCATTTATAGGGGTAGAATTTCCGGCGTTTGCCACAAGAAAATCAATTTTGGAACTATTCTTAAGGGTAGAATAGCTTAAAAGAATTATTTTTCTTAAAATTTACGAAATCATTAATTCACTGTTGGGGAATTCAGCATTTCCAGATGATCAAGCTTTCTATTATTGTTTTTTAAATTTTCGGAAATAGTTAATCTAAAAGGTGCGGTAGGTTTTTTTACTTGATTATTTTTTTCATTTCATATTTTTTCCTTTACGAAACTATCGTAAATTTTCACATTTCCAGCATTATGAGGCAATCATGAGGTATGTCAATAAAGGACCACTATTTGTTGATGTTCATATGCATAAACCTACTGTTGCTTCACGTTCCTTCATGGATGCACTACTTGCGTTCTGGCCAGGTTTACAAGTGTTGAAGGGGGACATAAAATCTGCTATAGAATTCCACGAAACCTTAAATTTGGTAATACAGGTCAGTTTTGCAAATTGCTGTTCCACCGCAGTAGTTTCATTTCAAGTTCTAAGTGAATTTAGTGGAAGTATTAATGATGTATGCTTGTTACTATTCTTTATTTAGAAACATAGATTTTTGCCTGAAGCATTTACACATGATTTGCAAGTTCACTGGGGGCAGCATCCATTGCGACCAGAGTTTATTGAAAGCACTTATCTTCTCTATCGTGCGACAAAAGACCCATATTATCTTCGCGTTGCTAGAAATGTAATAATTTATTCGCTTCATTCACTGTCGTGTTTCTTGGTATTCTACTATGCTCTTTTCCCCCCAATTTGTGTAGTTTGAATCTACTTTTTTTTCAGGTGCTAAATAGCTTGAACAAATATTGTCGTGTAAAATGTGGTTTTGCAGGCGTTAAAGACTTAAGAACTATGAGTCAAGAAGACAGGTTTTTATCTTTTTTGGTTTACATGGATGTGGTCTTTATTTTACCTTATGCTCTTTTTTACCTTATTGCGTCGCTTTTGAAAAATTATGAAATATTTTCTCTGTAGTTTAAATAGGGTATTTGATGCCTATTTATTTTGGTTCTTTAGAGTTTATTAGATTTGCATGGCGTTTTTTCAGGATGGATTCTTTTGTTTTGTCAGAAACTTTGAAATATTTGTATATGATATTTGCCGAGCCTTCGGATATGCTTTTCGATCCTGATAATTATGTACTGACAACAGAGGCTCATTTTCTACCTCTAAATATAGCTGATGTCGGAGTTAATGAGAATAAGGTGGTTTTCAAATGCTTATTGGAATGTTTGTTCGTTGTTCGTATTGAAGATTTACTGCTAAATACATTTTTAGGCTTTTTTAAAATTTTTTACAATAAAACTCTTTTCTTCTATTTAGTTGCCACGGCGAATGTTGATTGATCCAGTCGAGATTATGAACGAGACGAACGGCCAAAAGTATAGAGCAGCTTGCCCGATAGAACCGTTGTCGCGCTCTTTAGATCATTTTATTGGTTACGCTCACTTTCTTCGTTTAAAAGTTAGAAGCATAATAGGAGAATTAACGAGGCATTCTTCTGATTCCCAAGCAACGTCTGTTTGCCCTCACCCGTTAGTTTTTAATGCAGATTCTTCTCAATTTTTCTAATCCGTCTTATTGGTTTTTCGATGCTTATTTCCTGCCACAAGTTTCTGATATTCAGGGCTGAAAGACTTAGAGCTTCGGCATTTAGCTCTTCTAATAGTGAACACGTGCGGCAGTTACAGCAAATGGGTATTGAAATTAGTGTTCAGTCTGATGGGCGTCTGCAGCTTACTCATATTCCCACAATGGTATTTTTTAAAATTTTTAAAAGGTTGACACACTTTAAGTTTTTTTTTGTTTGGTAGCATATAATACGTCTGAAAGCTGTCGTCTGGTCATGAATATGAGTGTACAAGCTTCTTTTTGTTGATTATGCATTACTTCCAAAAAACGGCTGTTATGAAGTGAGGAGGTGGTCTTGACTTGATAATAAGTTGGACTATGTATGGGTCACGTAAACGCACTCCGCCCAAATCGACTAGTTGTTTAAATAAATGTTTATTGACTCTGGGCTTTAGTGATGTTTTATCATCATAACTTTTGCTTGAAGAGGCTCATGGAGCTGTGGAGATAAGTTATCAGATAAAACTGCTGTACGAACTGTAATGGTAAATCGACAGCAAAATTAATTTCTTATCTGTAACTTTTTTCAGGGCGGAGTGCGTAGTGGTGAGACTTCAGCTATAGCTGCATATTGTTATATGGATGACATTGGGAAGAAAGATTTTATGAATGCTAAGCGAACCACTCTTTCTTTCCAACCAGTAGCTTCTCATCTTCTCGCTTTGATCAGATTAATTGTTCTGCTATGGTTTGCTGTTATGTTTGTCGTCGGTCTAGGGATTTGCGCAACTGCTGCTTTCTTCTATACTTTACGGTGGTGTAGAGTCGCGGCTCCAATTCCAATAGACAAGGAAACTGTTGCATCTTGTGCTATTAGAAAGGAAGGTGTTGATTGAGTTGGGAAAGCTTGGCTTATTTTAGGGTATATTCTATGAAGAATTACACTTTAGTTGATTTTAGATCTGTGATTTGGAAATGTGATCTTATTGACATATCAAGTTCTAATCTAGATGTTTAGTTTCATAGTCTTTAAGCTTTGAAATCTGATGTATGTATATATGTGACCCGTAAATTTTAGCCATTATATCGTAGCTTTCATTGATATTGCTTTCTTTGGAGTTTAATTCTACATACTTATTCTTACATCTGGTTTTTTACCAATAAGCTGTTAATTAGAGGCACTTGTGTTACTCAGTAGGTTGTTTAAGCGCTACGGGATTGAACGCTCTGCACTGGTGGAACACTTATTTCTTTAAATAGGGTATATTTCCCAATTCCATTTGTGTTGGTTACTTTTATTCCTTTTAAAAGTGTCTTACTGTTACACTTGCCGACAACTTCTAGAGGGATCCCGTCGATCACCGTATGTTAAATACGAATCTTCTTAACATTTTAAAGTTGTGGAAACAGTTCTTAAGTTTTCCAGTTTTATTACTGCAGATACTTTTTGATTATATTGGTGCATATCATCTAATTGACTTGTATTATTTCTTGATTATCGTTCTCAATAGTCATCTTCTGTTCCATTATGTTGAAATTTTTTTTTTGCTAGCGCTTGCTTCAAGCTAGCTAAACGTTTCTTTGGAAGGCTGATTTTCAATTTCAGTTTAGAAACGGTTGCTGTGCTACTATTTTGGTCGTTTGTTGCGGAGTTGTTTTTGTTATGTCGCCTGCTTTTTGTTTAGTAAAAGCTTTATTGCAAAATTACTTTTATTGTTTGATCATTTGAAGCTCTTGTTTAAAACATTTTGTGAGGTGTCTTTTGTTTGGAAAGTAGTGTACAGTTACTTAATAGTTTGATTACAGACTAGATAGTTGAATAATCAAGAGTAAAAGTTGTGCGAGTTACATAATTTTTTTAATGAAATTTTTATTGATTGGAAGTGACAGCTTGCTAATTTCTATGGGAGATGGAAGATGGTGCTGCGTGGTTTCAGCCGCGTCTAGTTCAATTTGTTTAGTTTCTTCAACAGTCGTAGGTAGGGTTTAATGCCGATTATTTTTAGTAATTGTTGGTTTTATTGATTCTTGTTGTTTCAGGCGTCATCTACTAACTGGGCGAAATTGGGGGTTGATTTTATGCAAGAAATGATGCAGATTGCTTCTCGGTTGGAGAAGCAGGATTTTAGTTAGTTTTTGTTCGTTGTTTGCTGTGATCTCTGGCTGCTTCATTTTTTTTTTTTTTTTTATAATTGACCCAGTGACTTCGTTATTTTTTGACCTTTAATAAGTTTTTTAAAGATTACTGATTACATTAGATTGACAAAGTTATGTAAGCAGAGTTTTAGATCCGGGAAGGACTTATGGAACGGTAGAGGTTCTTTCCCAGCCTCACTTCGGATCCACAAACTATAAAGGGTCACCCGCACAGTTTGGTCCGGATTTATCGGTTACGTCGGTACGTTGTTTTGTCTTTAATCTTCTGTTAAATATCTGTTTGCGAATTTCAGCGAGTCAGACGGGTTAAACCATTTACCATTAGGCCTTCTTAGCTATGACGATTCGTTTCGCTTGCGACTTAACCAGTTTGCTTAAATTATTTTTTTCATTTTACGATTATTGCTTTTAGGCGGAAGCTAAGGGCAGATTGGCAGTCCCATTTAGAGGTTGCAGACCTTTAATCAATGAAAGGGAAATTTATGGTCATATTGCAATAATACAACGACAGGATTGCTTGTTCCAAGAGAAAGCTAGGTTTGCACAGAAAGCCGGTGCTGTCGGGGTGATTATAGTCGGTGATTTTTATTCTCCTGAGTATCTTTTCGAACTTTTTCTTTTATCTTTCATTCTGGTTTGAATTTTTAAAAATTTCAGATAATGTAGTGGGAACAAGCGTTGAAAGTTCACTTCCTTTCGCAATGTCTGGGGACACCAACGTAGAAGACGACATTAAGATTCCAGTTGTATTTCTGTTCCACAGAGAAGGCCGGAAATTGATTCAGGAAGTGGAGAATGACCCTAACATCATAATTCGTATATCAGGTCGTTGCGCAAGGCCCCAATTTATTTTTGAAAAATTCCTCGTGTATGGTGACTATGCTTGCGAAAGCCCTGCTCCTTTTCCACAATGCTATGAGGTAGATTCTTAAGTCATTTTTTACTGCTATTCCAGTTTTAAATGGAGCTAGTAAAGGCCGGTTAGCTGAGAAGTTTAACTTTAATCTTTCTACTGCTTGTGAAGAAGGAATTCCTGCAGTTTTAAACTTGTTTTGAATGTTTTTTTTATTGAAGAAAGTATTTATTTAGTGTCCCTCAAAAGGGCAAAAATTGAAACTTCTTATTTTCAGGATTTTGTCGGCATTGAAGAACCTTTAGTATTTGATTCATCAGTTCCCTTCGTTCTTTTCAATTTCCGCTTTAGTGGTGTCAACGACCAGAGTGATTTGGCTTTAAAACAAAAGGCTTACTCAATATTATTTAAATTTCCTGTGGAAGAAGAATTTTATAATTTAATAGTACTGGTCAGCAGTCTGAAATTCTTCGTCGGTTTATATGTCCACTTGTTTTTAGGCTGTTGAAGCGAACATTGCTATTGTGAAGACGCTCTATAGTTTTAAAACGCCAGACGACGCATCTGTTTTTTTTAAGTATTTGAGGAAAATTGCGCACTTCCAACTGAATTCAGGAGCTGCCTTAACACAACTGGAACTTGGTGAACTGATGAGTAGAATTGAAAGGCTTTCAAAGAGGGATACGCCTATGATTCCCTTGGCTGACCCAACGGTTCGAGTCATTTGTCGTTTAGCGGATATGTTTTTTACTTGTTACAATTTGTATTTTTAATGTATATACACAGTCCGGTTTTCTTCTTTTCTCAGGTTTACTGAAACGAGTACTTGGCTTTAATGCTTTTTTGCCAGCACAGAGTTTTATTTTTGCGTCTTCTCTTTTGTACAATTCATTTTGCCATTACCGTAGGCTATTACGTTTGGCTATTCAGAGGGTATGCTTCCAGAGTTTCTTGTTATTACTAGGGACTTGAGAAAGAAATCGTGTAGCATTATGGGGCTTAAGGCTCCCTGAATTTGTTTTGCCTTTGAAAATATCTTTCTTTCACAGCATTTCTAGTCTATGTGGTATTTATGTTCTTCCAGGTATCTATCAATTCTCGTATATGCAATTTTTGAATGCCGTGTAACTTTTGAAGTAATAAGCTCTTTATTATATCTACAGGTGCACGAAACTTATGCTAAACCGTCTTTACTAGGTACCGCAGTTGTAAAAAAATTAGCACACGTTCTTGTGTGTACTGAATGCTTGATTTTTACCTCTTTTCCAAAGTCAAACTACTTTTGAAAATTTCCTGAGGCGTTTATATTTCTTTAGTTATTTCACTTACGGGATTTATGCCGTTATTTCCTAATTTCCCGAAGTGAATTTTTAATGTTCCCATCGGTGTCCGTTTTTCTTTTTTTTCAAACCAAATATGTTGGGTATGTCGAATATGTTTCCTTTAATTTCTTTTACTCAAAATTTAGGCGTCTTTGCTGAAACACTGCTTGTCTGTTTCACTATTGTCAACATGTAAAGAGCCTCATTTCTGATAGATTTATTACATTTTCCGTTTGGGTTGGACTACTTGATATTCTTCTTACTTTTGTTGGTCTTCTGTGTGGTTCGTGGGACCCAAATTCCAACTTTGATACTGACGTCAATGATGAGGTATACGTTATCCTTACTTTCACTTTTCTAAAGCTGAAATCCTTCCCGTCAAGCATCTGCATCAAAATATATTGTTGGTTATGAGTGCCTCCTTACTGAATTGGGGCAGAAAATGGGTTACACTACATTTTGAGTCTTTTTTCTTGTTTCACAATTTGCAAAAATGAGCTATGCATGGCAAACGGAACTAGTGTTGCTGCATTTCGCTTCTGTAAATTTGTTTCTCCTGTAATGAGGTCCTAAAAACCATTTTGCTGACAGTCGTCTCCTGCTGTGCGGAATCAACTGTTTTGACACGAATTACAAGAATTATTAGCGATTGGTGTGATCCGTCAGATTGACTTCCAAAAATATTAGTGCTGTGAGTTACCGTGGGTGACCTGCGTTAAGAAAAGTTTTTTACGTAGTTTGAAACATATGATTGTTGGGTAACTTTTAACGGAAGAAGATTAAAAGTTTATAAGGATATAAAATATACAAGTGAGCGAAGAAAAAACAAATTGGTAATTTGTTTTGAAAAACCTGTTCTACAAAATAAAGGGACGCTGGGCTCCCTACGGCATCCGTCAGGTAGGAAAGCCAATAAGGTTCGGTAGTGCGTTTTTAATTGTAGAAGCAATACCATTTTTCTCTAGTATGAGCAGGAGAAAAACTGAAACGGAGACCATGTTGAAAACTTCTTTCGAATCGGTGACTATTAGTTTTTAAAGGAGGGGGAAGGTAAGACGAGAAAGGAGAGTTAGCGTACGGGAGCGTCCATGAAAATCAAAAGCTAGACTAATGGAGTCAAAGTGAAGAAACACTACACCTGAGCTTTCAAAGTTTTTCCTCGTTGTGCAAAATTTAGCTCTACATAGTAAAGGTTTCCGAAAAGATCAGAGCTAACTTCCGCCTGACTAAGATCAAATGGGAAAACCTGAACATTCCATGCAAATTTTTTACTCTTTCTTGTTTGGGTCGCAAGTTTACTCCACTACGTTTTGGGCCTGGAAACGACTAAAGCTGCCCGCCTGATTTTATAACTCAAGTGAAGCTATGTCAAAGAAGCTCTGTTCCGACTACTAAGTTAGCTAATGAGTTAATCGTTCCTCTCTTAGTTGCCGTCCGGTGCAAAAGATCCAGTTCAGAATACTCCAAATACTTTTCTCCGCTAAGAAGCTCTTATAAATTTGGGTTTCGTCATACAACTTCAAGCTGATTTTTAGTTCACAATTTGATAGTTTTCTGGACCCAGGTTTTGCGTCATAGGTTCTAACTAATGTCGAGATGAAGTTTATTATGGCAGGATCACCACTTTAATTGTGGGAAAGTAAGCAAAATGAACTCATTTCCAGAAAAAATATTAAAAGCAATACGCAGTCCAACTTCAACTTAAATTTCTCGCTATATTGGGCAATTTCCATTGCACCTTATACTGTTTTTTGGCGTGAATTGGTCATCAAAAAATTCCTCTTTTACTTTGCGCTCCATATTTTACAAGGATCTAATGTTTTATAGTGGGCACTGCAGCAGAACCAGCAAGCGCAGTGATTTTACATTTATAACGAGACTGACGCGAATATCAGTTTTAAAATCCAAACAGAAAAATTACCTTAGCAAGAAATTTTAGCTGACGTCTGATTCAGACATGTTCAGCACCCTCCTCCGCGCTCTTACATCGTCCGCGATAGCACCAAGATTTTCAACACTAGAGTCCAAATACCACTTCCTCACGTTTCCATGGTCATCCTTTTCCTCCGTAACCTGGATATCATCTTGACATTAATCTTATTAAACGTGTGTCATAATATCAGGACGGAATAATTTGAGAAGAGGACATTAAGTGTAATAGCAGTACTTGCAGCATATGCGTTATTGCGAATATAAGCGAAAAACGTAAACATTTTGTAGCCCATTCTGTCACTTGCCTCCAAAGAGAAACTCTTTAAGGGAGAGAGCAGGCCCTGTAGGGGTGGATCGTCGTGAAGGGAGGAGCTTGGTGAGGATTGTTGCCTTTTCTTGCCCTTGTTTGCTTCAGTTCTCCCAGTTCAGTTTCAAAAGTACAATAAATCCCTTATGCGTACTTTTTAAGTTTACTTAAATTTTGTTCATTCAAAAGGTATACCATTCCCACAGCTTTTAGGTCGCACTGCTCTAATATTAATTATACTGCTTATTTACGTACTGTTCAATTCTAATGACGTTCACTTTTGACATACCCACTACAATGCGCAGGTTAAAACGCTGATTTTTAGCAAGCATGTCACAAACACCGTAATGAACTGAGCGGAAGTTTTCTAATAATGGTCCTCTATTGTCAATATACGAACTTGATTAAATGATAAAAAAGCCAGCAAATTAAATACTAATGATTGCGCAAGATGGTATGCCTACGCGGTACCTAAAATATCCTTGCTCTCTGGATTTTTCCTGGGTTGTCGGCTTTCAAGTTCACTTACCGTCAACCGTCGTCAAACCGGGCTAAATTCTGACTTCCCTAAACAGGCTGCACCCAAATAGTTCTCTTAAATCAACTGCCACTGTAAACAAGCAAGCAGCTGGCTGCTTTCTCCAGTAGAGTTGTAGAAACTAAAGGTTCCCAACGGACAGTAAAGAGGAAAAAGTACAGCTTTCGCAAAACAAAGAGCTGTTGGCTAATGTGGCATACTTATCTGTGAAGATTTACGCAGATAAACGTTTAGGTAGGAAACAGAAATCTATGTTGTATTTTCGTTACGAACTATCACAGCCACCAACTTGTGTTTGCCGCAAACTGCAGCGCTAGAAAATCCAGAACCTCTTTGTCTTATAAAGATCGCTCAACAGTTTCCACTTTAGCTGCTACTCTTCCAAAGGGAAGTTTCTATTTTAACTGTTCGCCAAGAAAATCACTGGTTCCGTCCACAACGGATTAAATTATTGCTCACTCAAAATCAGTATTTTTTTCAGAACCGCAGTCAAACTCACGCTAGCTAAACGTCCAACGAAACGAACTGATAGTAACACACAGAAGAATGTCCCGACAGCCTGAAGAAAAAGTACGATCATACCACTTATGGAAATATTGACCTTTTTACCCCGTAAAAATTAGGCAAAACTAAAACAAAATAAATTCAGAAATCTGTCTGAGAAATGCAAATTAGAATAAATTACCATGCCAGCAATCCATAAACAAATATATGTCAAGTTTATATGGGAAAATTGATCCCTTCCAAACTTTACGCATATAGCTCCTTCAAGAGCACAAACAGCTACATAGATCCAGCTTTGCATCCCCATTCGTTTAACACGTGAATCGGTAGCAAATAAGTAAAACTGTCTAAAACACATAACAGAATTAACTCTTTAGCTGTCAGCTGATTACCAACAAGAATTAGAAAGAAAGCATGAACTAGAGCAGGTTTTCTTACAAATTTCTAGCTGCCTCTAAATCCGTCTATGTTGTTTCAGTTTTTAAGCACATTAACTGCTTTCTTTCGTTTCACAAACATTCTGTTCCTTATTATCTGCAACACCTACCACCTCAGCTTCTTAACACTAATAAGGGATAGCTGCGAAAAATCGTACCGAATAGATGGAGCCGAAATAAGGCCAATCAGAATTATTCTCCAAAAAACAATTGGGTGGGAAGTGTCAATCGCAAAGATATGCTTCAAGAAAAATGTATTTAACTCGGTAACCTAAAATTTGAAGATCACCTTGGAAGGAAAAAGTTATAAATTAGTTCCACCAAAAATCCCAACGAAAATAATAGAACTAAAATGGGTTTAACACTAAAACTTACACGTTTAAATTGAAACATGCATCTTAAGAAGCGATTAATTCCGCGAGTGCCTTAATACAAAAGAAAAAAAAAAAGATCATCCCAAATTACTATGGAAATTACAAATCACCAAAAAACACAAAACTGCTTCATTCTTCCCAGTAACATTCACTTATCTCAAAGTCTGCCAAGTGTATCCCACGATAGGTCTCAATGCCGTTACACAAAAATATGCCAAGAAAAATAATATCCCACCGACACTCCTCAAAATTCCGAAACAAGTATGAAAATAAAAGCTGCGTCAAAATAATAAGCTATCCATTACACAAAATAATGAGCTATTGTTAGTGCTTAAATTAATAACTCAAGAAAAAAAAGAAACAAAACGAAAAAAATCTCAAAAGATCAAGTCATTCGTTACAAATTTTAAAACCTTAGTGACTTTTCAAGCGGTTTTAATATGCAAAAAGATGAGGCGATAACGAATAAATAATGCTTTCTTCATCTAAAAACCTACAAGCCATATCATAACAAATGCATAAATGGAAAGTGTTCTCCTGATAGCAACATCGTTATACCAATCCACTTGCATCCAACTTTCAGGAGTGAATTGAAGAACCGCTCGTTTAAATTTTCCACGTGTCGTCTTGATGTCTCTAAACAAAAATGAACATAAAAAAACAACGCAAGACTGCCGAATTAATAACTCGCGCTGCCATAATCTTATAAGATAATGATTAGCTACTCGATAGACAAACCAGTAAATCTGAAAAACTTTCAGG